AAAAATTTTAAAAAAAGGATGGATCTGTTTGTTCTCTTGGCAGTTCATGGTATATTCAATACTCTTTTCTAGCACCATAACTCAAAAGCATCAATTATTTTTCTGTCATCCTTTGTCATTGTCCGGCTCTCTGATGCATAGCAAATAATTGTGAAGCCTGGATCAGCTACACCCAACCCAAGTGTAATGATGTTAGTCCCTCCACTGACATTATTCTTTGGAACTATGGAGAGGTCCTCGGCAGCAGATCTCCCCAGTGAAAATGAGAATTTGGACCTATAACTCCTAAATTTTGAAAGAATAAATTTCTGTTTGCTGAAGACATTCACATGGGGTATTTCTTATAGCAGCACTAGTTAACTAAACATTTGTTGAAAACATGCATATGTGCATACACAGACACACACAGACACAGACACAGACAGACACACACACACAGACAGACACACACACACACACACACGAATCTGCTCATATGATTCAGCAATACAGCACTGCTAATAGGGAGTTCTGATGGCCTAGTGGTAAGGAGCTGCACTGCAATATTGAAGGCACAAATCCATGAGCTGCTCCTAGGGAGAAAGAAGAGCAATCTCTCCCTGTGCAATTCAACTGCCTCTGAAAACCCACCCAATGGAGGGGTCGCTTCTGACTTGAGGATACTCAACAACAGCCAGCACTGTTAACAATGTCCCAGGGAGCTCTGCTGACGTCGTCCACAGAGAGTGGTGCTGCTGACCCACAGGTGACACGCCTCTGGCCATTCAACTCGACCAGCAGCTCCATGGGAAAAAGATGGGCCATCGCCTCCCATATGAAAACCTGCGGGAGGATCAGCACCTTCCAGATGGTTCTGACTTGACAGCAATGAGTTTGAGGGCTTTAAAAAAATGGCTTTCTAGTACATAGGGTTGCTGTGAGTCGCAAGTGACTCGATAGCACATAACAACAACAATAACATAACAGTATATCCAGGTAGAAAGCATTTCTTCTCACCTGCTTACAATCTCAACCTGTGAGACTTGCAGCCTCTGAAAACCTGCTAGAGGGTCAGCTGAGTTGATTCTGACTTAACAATAAGGTTTTGGGAGGGAGGTGCTTGACTAACACGAACAAATATAATTCATCTTCAAAACTGAGTCAAAGTTTGTAATCTTTAGGACAGTGCTTCTCAGACTTAAATGTACACATGGTTGCCTGTGAAATGGATTCTCCTTCAGGAAGTCTCGGGAGAAGTGATTTTGACAAAGCTTTTCCTGCTGCTCCGATCTAGGTGATGGTGGCCCTGTGACCACCTTTTGAGTAGCAAGGCTTTAGGAAGTTTCTTCTGATTGTCCTCTGTGTTGCTTTCTTCTTTGACTCCATCTCTATCAGTACTTTAATATAACTTTATATGTTTATATATCTGCCTTTCCAAGAGGAGCAAGGGTTATGTGAAAGTAAAAACTATATTTTGAACCTTTGTTTCCACAGAACTGAAGCACAGTATATGACACAAATGAAGCATTTTATATTGTTGTATGAACGCTAGTAAATGAGACGTAGTCTTGACCTGTCAGTGGAAGAAAGAACTATGGAGCTATTTTTCCTTAAAGAAAAGTTTCAGAAACTTAACATTTGGATAAATATGGAATTCAGGGTACTCACATCATCTTTATTAAAACACACAGCTTTTATTTGTTATACCCAGTCTTCAACCTTGTGCATGCTACAAAAATTAAAAGATGTTTCTAATCTTTTTATTTTGAACACTAACATTTTATATTGACCATATACTAATAAATATTCCATCCTATCAAAATATAAATACATAATATCAATTGGTAAAAATGTAACATCTACAAAGTACAACTAACATGAAAATTTTTAATAAGGGAATTCTTTAGGAGTACATCACAATTTTTTTCCAAAATGTGGTAATAACACCCAGGGTGGAAGCCCATATCTTTAGGATAGGACACTGAAAGATGAACTCTCTACTGTTAAAGGCTCAATGAATCTGAGCTCAAAAAAGATAATTCCAGATTCTAGAGATCCATCAATTCTGTGGTTTTCTGTGTAGGCTGACCACTCCAGAGATCCTCTCTAATTAAAGGCTGCAACGTAGAATGTCTCATTGTGGATATACTGAGTAAGATCATTTTCTGAATGATGGATTTTGTCTTAAGACTCCCAGTTTCACAATCATTATAGTTAACATTTATACATTTAAATTATAAGATGTTTAAAATGTCTTAGGAGTCAGAAAGAGCATATTGCAACACCATTAGATAATTTCTCCATGAGCTTTAGCTAAACAAAATTTTGCCTTCTGCACAAAAATGTCCAAGAAGATGGCTGAGCAAACTAAAGGGAGCATTTATACCTATGCAGGAGAATCTTTGAAGCTGTTTTGAAGATCATTTATAAGTCTTTTCATACCACATGACTCCAGGAGAGTAAAGGAATTGAGGATTAATGAACTGTGCAACCTCAAAGTTAACAATTGCTAACTTTTATATATAATTTCCACTATTTAAAAAAAGTTAATTTCAACCAAGGGGAAAAATACAACTGAGGAGAAATATTCTGTTTCCAACAGAGAAGTCCCTAGATGGTTTAAATGGTGACATGCTTGACTGTCAAAAAAAAAGAGCTGGAGATTGAACTCCACCCAGAAAGGCCTGGCAATAGCTTTAGAAAGATCAGACACTGAAAATCTTATGAGGGCACAGTCCTATTCTGACCTGGGGCTGCATGAGTCAAAAATAACTTCATGGTAACTGTTTATAATTCAAGTTGGAGGGTCAGAGCAGCAAGTATAGTTGTGTATGTAGAAGCAAAAATATTTTCTGGTGAGGCTGTATTTACTTTATTGTCTAAGTTCTCTTTAGGGAGTTCTGATGGCTTAGTAGTAAGGAAATATACTGCCAACACAAAGGTATGCAGTTCTAATCCACCAGCTGCTCTGTGAGAGAAAAATGGGTATTCAATTTCCAAGTTATTTATTGCCTTTGAAAGCGCACTAGAGGATCAGCTATGAATTGGTTTCTACTTGATGGTAATAAACAACATCGTGCTGTCTTTTCCCTCCTCTGTCTTTATTTCTTCTGCACCACCTTTGATTTTCAATAAGCAGCAGTGTTGAGCAGGGGAGAAATTATGTGGGAGTCAGGCTAGAATGCCAGTTCTATACCTCTTAGTTCTTTCACTTGAGGCGTGTGTCCTGAAGCCTCAAGTCTGTCATTTTTTTTTAATTTTGTTTTTTTTTAATTAAATTTTATTCGTTTTAATGAACAGAGATTTTGGGTTTTCCAAGTCTGTCATTTGAAAAAGGGAACAGTAGTACTAATTCATGCTCTTAGTGTGAGGATGAACTAAGGTTCTGCATTTGAAAGCTCATTTTGTTGTTGTTTTTTTAGGTGCCATGGAGTTGACTATGACTCATGGTGACTCTATGAACAACAGATGGGAACCTTGCCCTATCCAGGCCTTCCCCACAATCTCTGATATGTTCAAGCCCACTGCTGCAGTTGCTGTGTCAATCTAACTTCTTGAGAGCTTCCTTTCCTTTTTTTCCAGCATGATGTCCTTTTCCAAGGACTGGTGCCTCCTAACAACATGCCCAAAGTATGAAAGATGGAGTTTCACCGTCTGCCTCTAAGGAGCACTCTGGTTGCACTTCCTCCAAGATATATTTGTTATTTTGGCGTCAACGGTATATTCAATACTCTTCACCAAGACCACAATTTAGAGACATTGATTTTTCTTTGGTCTTCTTTATTTATGTCAAATTTTCAGATGCATATGAAACAACTGGAAATACTGTGACTTGGATCAGGTGTCTACTCAGTATGTGTGTGTGTGTGTGTGTGTGTGTGTGTGTATTTAACTCAGTCAATAATAAGCATTTTTGTGCCTCTTAGAGGCACCACATCTTACATTCCACTTCTAGAATGTTGGAGCAAGAACAGATTTCTTATTTATCTCCTGAAGTTTCCGGCATCTTGAAGTCTCAACCTTTAAAATGGGAAAACCTAAAGATCTAAACAAGCATTCCTTTTTCTGCAAGGCCACACAGACCTGCACCACGGCACCCTCTGTTGATGAGGATGGACTATTGCAGAGAGGGGTGTTGGTTCCCCGAGGTCAGAAAAATAGTGGGCAAGTCCCAAGTCAGAGTCAATGTGCAAAGTAATAACCTCTTCCTAGGATCCTGCATGAGAATCTTGTGCACAGGGAAGGCACATACACCTGCTTTGTTTGGTACCAAAAATGAGGATCAGAGTGGTGAGAGTCAGTTAGTTCTTCCTCATTATTTGCTCTCTGATGTTTCTGTCCAGATACTCAGTATCCAGCACTCCACACTGAATTATTCACCCCAATCCAACCAATGGAGTTCACCCCACTTCCTGTAAAGACAGCAGCAGCAGTCCACCCTCATAAAACTGCACCTCACAACATCCGATCTCGGATGGGCTGCCGTCCCATCATCCTCTGTGGCAGGAAGCTGTGGCTGACAGCATCACAGCAGTAGAGCTCACTTTTCTGACTTGAGTTAAACCACCTGTTTTCCTAGAAAAAGAGTCATGACTCTCGTTTCCATTGCCATCACATCTAGATTGTTGTGTGATTGAGTTCCTTTGTCCCGAAAGCTTTAGACACATGTTTAAAAAAATGATAAAAATAAAATTCAAATGTCTCTCCCTGTCAATAAGAAACAATGCAAGAAATGTTGCCTGAAGCATTTAGATTGAGGCTTATGCACCACATGTGACAAGAGGCAGAGGCATTGCTGCTGTGCTGGGCCCACTCCCAGCTCAGTGACTGGTTCTCCTGTCTGTGGTCCAGCGCCAGGTGCTGTCCAGGTGCTGCATCTGTGGATGCATCTCAGGAGCTGGTATCACAGGCCATGCTGCACCTGGGAAGTCCTGGGCTGGGGTAGGTATAATGCTCTGTGAAGGGAGGGCTGCCCTCCCTTAATCAGGATCTACAGTCTGTGTCCTGGCACCAATTCTCTGCTAAAGTCCTGATTCCGCAATTTCAGCCAGCTGAACCAACAGGCTGGAGAAGGGTGGCCGGTCTTCTGGTCTCTGGAAAGGGAAGAAAGGGTTATGTGAGTTACTTCGACTTGTGTATTTGGTTACATTCACAATGAACCTCAACAACAATACTCTTTTGCTTCTTAAGTATGTTTTCATGTAAACTGTATTGGAGATATTAAGTTCTAGCTGCTAACAGAGGTCTTCAGATTCTAGAGTCAGAAAGTCTAGTTTTGAACTCATCTTTACCAACCATGTATTTTGTGATTCTGACGACGTTATGTCTCTTTGTTATCTCTACAATGGGGATGAGTACCTACCTCATAGTATTGTGTGAGAAACAAAATCATGCACAAAATGCATTATAAAATAGAAAAAAAGAGTATATAAAAGATACAGACTTTACATAAGATAAGTGATAAATAATACAAAAGCTAAAATATATAAATATAAGTCTAGCAAAATATGACCAGGAACTTCCTGAGGGAAAGATACTAATAAGCCAAAGAGCGTAATGAATTGTGAGACAGTCCATGTTCACAGGTAGTAATACTTAGTATCATTGTCATAGTTTGAATTGCATCCCCCTAAAGCATGTGTTAGGGATCTCTGGTGGCCTAGTGGCAAGAAGGCTGTGCTG